GTGATTTTGGTCAGTTAAAAAAAGTTTTTTCTTTGCATCAGAGTTACATAGTGGCATTAGATTGTTATTATAAGATTGCGTAGTGGATTATTTAGAGAAATTTTTGGACCTAATCAGTGAAGAATAAATTTGTTTAAGTTGTCATTGTTGGTTCTCTTTGTTGTGATTTTCAAGTCATAACACCAACCATGTGACATGATTTTTGAATGCTTGCATAAATTTTAATGCACAATACATTACATTAGGGGAATTGGGGATATTGAAATTAAATGTATTGGTCTCTCTTGGGTTATATTACTGTGTGCTATGACAGACATTACATGTATTTACTGATAGAGAAAGCTCACTAAAGAAATAAAACATTCTAATAGAGGCCTGTTTTTGTGGCCCATGGATAGCAGCAGTCACACAGACTGGGTATCCAAGCAACAGTAGGTGTTATGATCCAGCTAAGGAACCAGATGCAGAGATGAAGTACAATCCAATAGTAGGGTTTATTGATAGTGATAATTGTTAGGTACGGTTCTGGAACCAGATGCGAGAGTCGAGCAGTGAAGGAAAAATGGGATTTTATTGGAAAGGGGGGCGAACCCCTGCAGAGCAGGAGGCGACAGTACAAAGTCCACAATCCAAAATCAAAATCCAAAGGGCAAAATCCAAATCGTAACCAGGGCAGCAAACACAATAATCGTGGTCAGGCAAAAAGGGCTTGGTACACAGATGCAGGCAGAAAATCCAAATCAGAGGCAAAAATCAATAATCAGGGACGGTCCAGTCAGAAGAGAATCACAATAGAGTACAAGGCGAAAACAAGCGTGGCCAAAGGAAACGTTCTGACAGGGAACTGCTGTGAAAAGACTGCTTAAATACACACAAGGGAAGTCACATGCTATGATCAGGGTCAGGTGAATAGGATCAGACTAATTACGTGGGAGAAAACACGAGGGAGAACCTAACCACATGAAATTGGCAAAAGCCAAAACGCGGACAGGGATCACGAGACAGCCTATGACAAAACATACAGCTCCGGTTAGGGAGTTCTATTGTGCACAGATAATGAGAGGCAGGACAGAGTAGAGCAGGTGCGGAGGATCCGCTGAATTGCAGCAAAGACTAAGAGAAGGCAAGAGGCGGAGACTAGAACAGGGCGAGTGCTGAGAGCTTGTTAATCAATCAGTAAGTGCAGCTATACAATCCCTGGTGCTCGTTAGTAAGTTAGTATTATATACAATGTTAGTCTTGGTTAGTAACTTTAACAAAACAACAAACTGTTAGTATGGGTTATTAAAATAGAAAAGCAAGGCGAAGGAAGCAAACGAGATTAGAAGGAATGTTTGAAACCCAGAAACCATGAAATCACCTAAACATGTGACACGCAGGACTTGGGGAGAAGCTTTAGCTTCACAGACCAGACAGGGGAGACAAAGTGCAATGCAGGGCATGAACAAAGACATGGACCGGGATCAAACAGAAATGTGGATCTGGGATGGCAAAAACAAAAACATGGCAAAGAACTAAAACTAAACAGAGCATGGCAAAAACAGAACAGACAGGGCAGAATAATAGCAGGGCATGGCAAAAACAGAACAGACATGGCAAAATCATAACAATAATATGATAATGAGTGTGAGGGATGGAGCCTGGAGCAGAATGGCGCAGTTCAGTTCAGATGGAGCAGGCTTGAGTGTGGGGGCGTGTCTGCGCCTGACCAATGGCATCCCGGGGTAGTAGCCAGAGTGAGAACACACTTGCTAAAGCAGATCTGTCAGATGGCAGAACCAGGGAGGAATGCATTTCCAATCCGAATGATCGCAGAAGACTTGGAAGGTGTTCCTAATAAACTGGGCAAAGGAACAGACTGAGGGTTGATCAATTGGATCGTGCTCCCAATCCTGGCGACCGAGAGAAAGGCTGGGGAGCTTGTTCTTATTGGTAAGACTAGGAAGAGTACTTCGAGATTTAACCATTGTAAAAGATTACGAATAGACAACGATTTCCAAAGACAATAAACTAACTAAGAAGATACTGGCTAGTTGCTAAAAGGCATATAGCAAGCAACAATTCAGCAACTTGCAGTCAATGTAAAGGGTATATATGCACCAACACACACGTAAGGGAATGGGAAACACAAATGCATGACACCTGGCGGGGGAGGCACGCAGGACGTCAAACCAATCAAAGGAGACAATATATCTACAAGACCCGCAAGCCACTAGATGGCAGGAGATGCGAAAGGGATTCATATGAGGTTTGTGACAGGTAGGTGCCGTATGTGGATCTGATCAAAGTTGTACAGCAATTCAGTCTGCTATTGCACAAAATGGTATACTCCCTCCCCTCCGTCCTCTCAGTGTCTTTCAATGCCTCTTCCCCTCGTCTGCACTCCACCTTATGCACATGTCAATGCATTATGAAATAATGAACACTACAAAAGACTCACTTCAGGTAAAGTGCCATCAAAATGTGTAGTCAAACATTATTTCCTTGTCTAATATTCATCAGAAAGTAAGTGTCTGCTGAATGGCTGATTTAACAGAATAGTCGCGTTATATTACACTGAGATATGAAATATGCGCATTAGACCTCCCCTGTACAGGTCTTCTGATTTTATCTCTGATGTGTGGTCATTACTCATCATGTTTTCCCCCACCTTTATCGCATTCATCACAAGCAAGTGCAAGACTTACAAGTGCACACCCTCATTAATAACACCACGCAGAGTCTATCTAACCGGAGCAAAATTAATTTCTGTTACAATGCATGATTGTTCATTTTTGTCACTGTGTGGTATTCTTGAATTTCATTTCTCCTCAAAATAACTGGTGAATGTCATGTGAAGATGCACGTCTCCCTCAGTTACCCCTCCAGTGCTTTGATGATTTCGCAGGCTAACAAATATGTTCAAGAATAATTGAGAACATTCCAGGTGGATTGTCATTCACTCTCAAAATATTTTTGAGAACAATCACACTGATTGTTGTAAACAGGTTTTCCCCGTGTCACAGGAAATAATTTCGATGTACGGTATGTCATGTAAGAGGCAGTATTACATGATGGTCATAATTTATTCATGAATGTTACCATGTGATGTGGTTTAAGAATGTTCATTATCACATATTGGAATGGAGAATTAATATAATAATGTTATATACCCACTCAACCTTGACCTGGACTAAACTAATTAGCTAATGTATGGATGGGTGCAAGCGTTCAATTTTAAAATCAACATGAGCGACGGGCCTCAATTCCCTCATTGAATCAATATTCATTCCTTCTGCTTGAGGTTTACAATGGCAACAAGACAGGCAGGAAATGCATGTGATTGCTTGATCTACGCTGTAAAAAATAGTAGTTTTGACTATAGGCAGTTAGTGTCCGGGCAGCCTTAAAATTTTGAGTTTACTGCTTTTAGGACGAGAATTTGAAAATTACCTTAACTTGTCATCTTAAATTCAATTAACTTAAAATTTTAAGGTGGCCAGGACACTAACTTTTTCAAGTTAAAACAAATTGTTGGGTTTTTTTTTTTAAATGTAACTTTCCATATCGTTCTTCGATTGTTCTCAGATCCAAAATGTGTTTTCTATTCACGGAGAGACTCAAAGTTAAAATATCGAATTAATATTTCTCACATTGTTATTACTTGTTTTTGATATACTCTCGAAGATAATGTTGTGAACTGTCCCTTAGAAGCTATAACACTACATATTTTCTGAATACAATGCGCCTTATGTAATGTGCATATGTTTATTTTTTATTTGACCGTTAGTAAGGAATATGGTCGGGAATATGCATGACCTAATGTACTGAAAATTGTATGTGCTTCGCATCTGAGACAGTGCCGTCAGTCTCAGTTTAGCACTTCCTGGATCCATCTGTATTGCACCCAGTTGTTTATTTGAGCTGCAGGGAGCATTTCATAGCTGTTTAACTGACAGATAATGCTTTTAGCATTCTCAACTGAGAGTAAATGTATTTTCTCCATCCCATTAGCACTAGAAGTGTAATATATACAGGATGAGCATAAATCTGTATGTTTAAGTATATAATTGACTGGTATAGAACAGCATGAAGATTTTTCCCATGGCTCAGGGGTTTTTTTAAAAACAAATTTTCAGGAAGTTGTATCTCTGAAAGACCTGACCGAAGTCAGGTGATCAAAGTATCTTCTTCTTCTTTTTTTTTTTTTTTTTTTTTGCATATTTAAAGCACTAATTGAAGATTGAATTCCTGTTTAATATGGAGACCAAAGTACATTTTTCAAAATGAAGGTGGTGATTAAGAAGAATTGGACTGGGCATTTATGTAGCAAGACCGGTTGATAATTAACGAACTCATAAAGATTCATGCTTTGGACCCAAATTTTAATTTTGCACATAAATGTGCCTGATGTAGGCAACATTTAATCACCCAACTGACAGGAGAAGCTACTTTCATTTAACCTTGACTGAGGAGCATGAATTCCAACATGCTTAATTGGATACACCATTTAACGGCATGAAGAGTGAGGAATTTTCCGGAATTCAAAGGTTCTGATTGACATACTGTGGCAATAAGACCTGCAACAATTAAAGCTGATCTGTATTCGGGGCCTTGCCACCCATCGCGATAGTGATGTGACTCTTTGATCATTGCTGCAGAGCAATGACGTAGAGAAAAAAACTAGACCGCGCACTCTCTATTCTTGGTGTATTACGCCATGGTCATATAGGCGCCAGCTTCCGGTCATGGCAAAAACGCTTAGTAAATATAGTAAACACCTCTATTCAGAAAATAATTATATATATATAAAAAAAGGTTGCTACAGGGCACTTTTTCAAATTAGGACATGCTTATAAGTGAAAGCTTTCAGGATATAGCCAACATGATCAAAATAAGGTAAACTGATAGTTAAAAAAACTCAAATATTTAACTATAAATATTATGTGACAGTTGATGGGTCCTGTCACTAGAAATGTCTCCTAATAAGTATGCGCCCTGGCTACCTTGCCAATGAGCCTGGCTCTTTGGCGATGTGGTCAACGCGTTTGACTCTTACCCGGGAGACAGGGGTTTAATTCCCTGCCTGGGCCCTCCTTTGGCCTGCCACATTCATTTAAACCACAGTTTTAGAGGGAATAAAAAAACGTATTTCTGCACGGTCTGCATGGTTATCACAGCTGACAGCGCAACAGGAACTAACCATTTTGGCTCATAAATCATATGCATCCCAATTGGTTAAAGCACTAGATGCTTTGTTTTGCCATGACTGGATGTTAAAGCCGACTTACCACGAGAAAGGGGGCGGCTTTGCGCAGTCTAGTTTTTTCTCTGCGTCACTGCTGCAGAGAAACTTTGCTCAGCTTTACCTTGTTTTGAAAGGGACCGTCTCAGAACACTGGCAGGGAATTAAGGGAGGCACATGACCTCCATTTAGCCACAAAATCATTCACCTTGGGGCAGAGGTGCCATCTCAACGAACATAACAGCGTGAGCAGAACAACTGCAGGAGCATTCCATTATTATTGTCATTAAGTTCACTGGCCAAATTAAAATAATTTTAAAAATATTTTAAAAAAAAATGTTTTTTTTTTTACTTTGTCTCGCACCCTTTCGCTGACAATTGTGAGGAAAAACTGCGTCAAGTGGCACACCCTTTAAAGTATTGCTTGACTCTTAATTTTGGAAAAGAGTGAGGATTTAATCAGCATGATAGACATCAGTGTGTCAAAACCTAACCAGCCAAAAGACATTTGCTTAAAAATCAAAGCCCTAGGCTATCATCTGTATTTTAGGATGAGTGCTTTTTTTATACATGATTGAAAAAGCTATTTAATTGTCTCCGCAGTAAGGGGTTCAAGGTTGCTTTAGCAAAGCATTGCCTCCGGGGCGCTAAATACTAAAATGTATTGTATTGTATATGTTAAGATTTGAACTGTCTGAAATTTACTGTATTGTGCTGTATTTTTTTATTTTGACTGCACTAACCATTGTGTCAGGTGTTGGAAACCTGTTCTGTACTTTGAGGTAGAAACCTACTCCGTAGAAAAGATACATTCAGGAAGAGGAAAAGAAGAAGATTTCCTGAAAGTGAAGGTTTCCTGAAAGTGAGTAATTGAAGGCTAGGCACGTATCCAGTGAACGATCAATCAACTGAGCTGTTTTTGTTTATGTTTTAATAATATCGCCTGAGATTGTGTGACAGGAAAACTCATTTTAGGAGTGAGGGTGGAGCTTCCAACTCTTGCAGCTGAAATATTCACCGTAAAATTTTGGAAACCACATTGCTAAAAGAAAACATCTTCAAAATAGGATATTTTCCTTAATACATTTACAGCAATACTTTAGTCTGTGTAATTACTATTCAAAAATAATACTGTACATCTTTTGTATTCTGAGTTTGAATTTTGAGCAAATGAGGAAAATGAGCAGTTCCGCTAATGAGCAAAGCATTTCATTTAATCTTCGTCAAATTGGCCTTATGTTTTCATTTTTGAACATACAGCAGAGACCTGCATCTTTCAAAGAAATCAAATCGGCCAGCCGTAAAACCAGAGCTTTATTTGAAAATTGCGTTTATATTTCACTAAATTTTGGTTCTTTCACCACAATTTGCTGAAATCCATAAAGGCTCCACTGGAATGTAGTGCTTCTGAAAAATACTCATATCAATATCATCGTTAGGAGAGGCACTTGAAGGCATCTCATTCTATTGACAAATATGATAGAAAAAACGGTAAAAGAAAAAAAAACAACTAAATCACCTGAGTTGAGTTTCATAAGCTATAATGTGTACAAAATGGACATATGAAGTTTTTAATATAAAAAGTAGATGTGTTTAAATAGCCTGCCGACAGTTTGGAAAAAAGCAGAAGGAAACTCATGTCAAATCAGGAAAAAAGCAAAAAGGCATGTTTGCCAACAAAGATTAAACAGATTGTAAATATGTGAGAATTGAAAGTGACTGAAACAATGGCATGATAACTGAGTGCTTTTGTTCTAATTTTCTAAATGCTCCCCTCTTTCTCTCATTGTTCTCCATAGTTTGATGGAATCCATTGTTTTTGTGCTATTCTTTGAGAAAAATGTTTCTGGCTTATAGCAATATTGTAGGTCTTAATTACACCATTTGGTTGATCTGATCATTTGCAAAATAAGTTTTGGGAAGACTGAACAAAAATTGGCAGGAATGCTAGGCTTAAGTAATCAATTTGGGTTAATCTAGTTTGTGTAGCTGATGTAGGATGCTGTTCAAACCGTGAATGTTTAAGTCTTAGCTGACTAACCGCCTTATTTAAGAGTTTGATGATATTTTGGTCAATGGGTTGTCCATGCAGAAAGCAAGCATCTTTACCTTCCATTATTGCTGAAGCAGCCACTGTAACTTGCTGCAGAGCTAAACATCCTCTGTGGCAAAGATCTGATTTAACCATCCTGGAAGGCTGTTGTATCACATGCCACACACTGATTTCTTCAGATTCTCTGTATCTTTTAATAATACTATGGACTGTAGCAAGAGAAATCCCTAAATTCCTTGCGATTGTGTCCTGAGAAATGTTGTCCCTAAACCATATTTCCATACTTGCTCATACATGATGAAGTCTTTTGAGGATTTCTATTTCGTAGGAAATCATGATAGCATTACCTGTTACCTTTCAACCTGGTACCCTGTGGAATGCTCCAAATAGGTGTTTTTTGAACATCCCTCAACCTTCCAACCTTCCCAGAGTTACAGTGACCCATGAACTACACTTGAACATGTGTTAGAGGCAGCAAGGGTTAAACCACTGGACAGACATTGGGGGGGGGTCCAAATTGGAGCCTTTTTTTTTTTTTGAAGTATATTTCTTACAATTTTATGTTATTTATGCACTACAACTTGTACATTTACGACATAGTTTTTGAGGACAACAGTCAACATTCAAAATTCACAGTTAGAGGGTAGTATGTGATTTCTGCCAGATAGTTGCTGCCCCGCTGCATTCGTTTGTTTTGGACCGTTGCCAATTTACCGTTTACTGACATTAAACACGGCCAGCGTGCTTTATTTTGAATAGGAGTTAAAGAAGTAGATTGTCATAAGTGTGTGCGTGTGTCTGTGTATATTTGCGAGTGTGCGTATGTGTGTTCCTAAGAAAGAGTGTGTGAGTATGGGAGCAGGGCAGAAATGCTTTAGAGCACATTCACATTTTAAATTGCTACTGGACAATGACTAGTCCTGCTCGCCGATCACTCTGTGTTATAGGTTCCAGTAGCAAAAGTTAACGCAGTACAAATTAATGAAGCATATGAGCCCTGCCATCTCAGGCCTGTAAGAGCCCCTCAGCTTCATAATGAATGATCTTAATAAAATCAATCCAATGTACCAGTTCTAACTGGAGGTGAGATTTAATTTACTCATTACAACCTTCCTTTATATTGGCCCACATCTACCTCCTACGTCCTACAAGAGTCTTCCAAAGGTCTGCCCACATTTCCATTCCTCGTATTTTTACACAGGCAGGGGAGGCCCATCTGACAGGATTAGTCAATAAGTCAGTCAAAACTCTTCATTAGTCAGTTCTACCAATTATATTTTCTCCCTGTAAGCAATGCCATACCAGCTTTTCACCTCGTACCCTCACTGATTCACCTTCCACCACAGCCTGATCCTTCACTGTGATGCTCAGTCCAGTCCATCTGCTCTGATTTGCAGATGTTTCAATGGAGGTCTAAAATACTCACACTCGCTCTGGCAAACAAGGTCGCCATTTGGCAGGAGAATCTGATTCTGAACCATAGCGGACATCCAAAGATGCCTCAGGAGGCCTTGTACTAGGCTGATTACTGTCCTACAAAGCCTGTGCAGGGTCATGACAACATCTTCACTAATGGAATCGATGAGAAAATAATCAGTGGAATAATAATTAATGACACGAGTGATCATCTGCCAGTGTTTGCAGCTATCCAGAGCCACACAGGAACAAACAAAGAAAATATTAAATATAAGACAATAAGACAAAAAACTGGAGAGTCTGTTAAATCTTTTAAATATGACTTGATGAATCAAGACTGGAACAAAGTCTATGTTGATGATGTAGATGAGGCCTATGACACATTCATATCAATAACAACGGCTCTCTATGATAAAAATTGTCCTCTGGTAAAGAAACTAGTGAAACACAAACTTGCAAAAAAGCCATGGTTAACTAAAGGTATATTAAACGCATTCCAAAAGAAAAATGTATTATACAAAGACTTTCTCAAGAAAAGAACAAAAGAAGCAGAAACAAAATACAAGACATATAAAAATAAACTAACAAGTATTATGAGAAACAGCAAAAAAGAGTACTACAGTAATTTACTAGAGGACAATAAAAACAACATAAAAAAATACATGGAAGGTATTGAATGATATTATCAAAAAAAGAAAAAAAGACGGATACCCAAATTACTTCATAACCAAAAATAACATAACTAGTAATGACACAACCGAAATTGCAAACGAGTTTAATGATTTCTTTGTTGGTGTTGGTCCTGGACTAGCTGGAGAGATTTCAAACACTGGCAATATGAATGAAGTGGAAAGCAAAGTGTTGAATGTAAATGAATCTATGTTTTTAATGGGAACCAATGAGAATGAAATTATTGACATTGTTAATAAGTTCAAGAGCAAGAAGTCAACAGACTGCAATGATTTTGATATGTCACTTGTTAAAAATATCATTGAGTGTGTGGTGAAACCTTTTACATATATTTGTAATCAGTCACTAAAAACTGGTGTTTTTCCAAGGAAAATGAAAACTGCTAAAGTCATACCCATATTCAAATCCGGAGATAGACACATACTCTCAAACTACAGACCTGTTTCCCTACTGTCACAATTCTCTAAAATACTGGAAAAATTATTTTATTCAAGACTAGATGATTTCATCACAAAGCATAATGTACTGTGTGAACAACAATACAGTTTCAGAACTAAAAGAACAACTTCACTCGCCCTCATGGAGTTTGTGGAAAACATAACAGCTGCAATAGAAAACAAACAGTACGCAGTAGGAGTATTTTTAGACCTAAAAAAAGCTTTTGACACAGTTGACCATGACCTATTATCA